CCCTGTTGGATCGGTATGGCAACACTAGAGGGGGTGAATAGTGTTGAAGATCAATTTACTTAACTTTTTCGAATTCAAACACAAATCAAATAACTTAAGTAAACTTTTTAAAACAAAACAATTTATGCACAATTTATAACAACTCAAAATATAATGAAACAAATATTCAAGATCAGCACAATATATATTTGTAATAAAATAAAATATAATTAAAAGATAAATTGCAATAAATAAAGAATAAGGGATAGAAAAAACGTAACGCAAAAGATTTATAGTGGTTCGGCAAACTCCGACCTACCCCACTCCCTGAGCACCTCTTGAGATTTTCCACTAAGCACGATCCTTTTACGAGTTCAAGATCAGAAACCCAGTCCTTTTGCGGGATCAAGACCAAACCTTACAAATTGCTCTTTTTTTACGGGAGCTAGAACTAAACCCAACCTTTTTCTATTGGGACAAAGATCAAAACACACACTCTGTTCCTTTTATCGGGCTCAAGAACGAAACCCAAACAAGTGTGAAAATAAGGATTATTCACACAATAAAACTCCCTCAAAGAGTAGATAAGAAGATGGAATCACACAACACCTAAAGGCTCTCAAATAGCCAAGTAAAAACGCTCAGTACGCTCCAAAAACTCAAGAAAAATATTCAAAAAGTCTCTCAAAAGGTTTAGCTCAATAGTATGGATTTTTTTAGAATTTTTGGTGATTTTTTAGAATTTTTTTCGGGCTTAAATATGGCTAGAAACCAAAAGCTAACCATTGGCTACCACGTGTCACAATCTGATTGGCTGAGGGAAATAATATTAAAATAATCGGTAGTTGACCAGTCAAACTTGGATGAATAGTAAATGCCTCGTGTCAATCATTCATTGGTCCAATCTAAGATAATTTGAATTTTATTAATAAATAAATAAATTCAAATTTATCTGGCTCGTGTCACGCTATGATTAGTCCAAAATGTGTGATCGCAACGTCAGCAAATAGATCCATTGGACACCATGTCATCCAACACGTCATCGAATTCGACCATTGGAATGCCACGTCATAAAAAATTTTCTGTTGAGAATCCACGTCAGCATCTTGCAACATGTCATCTTCTTGTTGGTCCGCGTGTCCACGTCATCATCCACGTAGGATTTTCCTTCCCAATTTTGTTTTGGTCATAACTTATTCGTTTGAACTCCGATTTGAGCGATTCAAATTGTGTTGGATTTGTCTTTTCAAGCACTACATTATGGACACTTTGAAATAGAAAAATTATCAGTAGATTAAGTTTGTTATCATCAAAATATATGGTACGATTGAAGCTCAAAAAGCCAACAGCCCCTGCCGCCAGCGCCTGCAAACCATGTGCTCCTGCCATGCTAACCTCACAAGAGGCTAGCGCCCTCACCAGCATACGCGCTCGCCTGATGCCAGCATCCAACGCCTAGTGCCTTCG